GATGGTTAGTAATTAAATTCATTATTGGATGGCCAGTTTCCATCCAGTAAAAAACATCTGAAAAAAACATTAAGGGGGCACGCTTATAATTTCTTCGGTTGAATCGTAGGAAAAGGTCACTCCAACAACGCATACACGCTTCCTCATACGATGGCCAATCCCCACTCCGATGGTGTACGGCATAGACGTCAAGAACTAAAGGAACTAAATTGCTAAATAAGTCAGTAAGATATAAAAATTCAATGTTTTTACACATAAACCCAAATTTTGAATAAACCGTATCCGCAATATTGGACCATGCCAAGCGCACAATATGGAGAATTAAATTAATTCTCCATGGACGTGGCTTCTGACCGAGTTTCTTCTTCGCCCCGAATACACTCTTATAGATGTCACTAAATAATAAATAATTTTTTTTGTAAACAAGTTCACGAGAATTCAAAGACACATGAAGAGGCCCCAAAATAGGCGAAAATGACATAACAAACTGTGGAATACTCTCATTGTTGAGAAGAAGACGTTGTGCAATGGCTTTACGGATAAAAAATTGCCCAGGCCAATCCGCGACAATAGGAACTGCATAATTAGAAAGATACAGTCGCATTGGCTCATGGTCGTATACAATTCGAAGAGAATCAACATATTCTTCTATATTTTTCAATTCTTTTTTAACGAAGTCAACAAGAATTGAGTTATGTATATGTCGATCAGTCTTTTTCTCTGCGAGCCTATCGTCGTAGCTATGTACTGTTAGTCTATCTAATACTTCTTCATCAGTACACGCCTGTTCTTTGTTCCGTATTCGATTGTGATATGAAATACCAAGATTTACGATAAATCGTTCATCAAGATGTTTCATAATCAAATGGCTATCTATGAACCTCGGATTAACTATTCCATTACACGATATTGCAGGTATTAAGCACGGGTTCATTAAAATTGTTGCCATATGTGTTGCCCTAGAAGTAACTGTAGTGTTGGGCTGCTGAGGGACGTGGATATTATGATAATCGTCGACATTTAGCACAAGCGCATTACCCGACTGCTGAAAAAGTGCATTATCCACATATTTTTCATGCGCTTCTGATATCTTTCTCTTACGCAGACCTAATGCCTGCGATGTTGTAGTTACGCCGAGATTCGCCATCGTATTCAAGCCTTCTTTAGTTACTCCCGCCGAATCTAAATAATATGCAAGATCAAACTTAAAAGTATTGACTTTAGTATTGTTCAAAGAAGCAAGCAAATAACAAATGAACACCATTATTCTTTTCATACGATCCATAGTTTGTTCGGTACGTGTGGACGGCCTAGCTGCTAAATAAAGTTGCTCAAAAAAATACTTAAGATTAGGTTCATCTTTTTCCAACAATTCTCGTAATTCTTCAAACGTATAGATTGTATTTTCCTTCTTCACATGCTCTCTTTCATAAAGAATTTTTGCCATCAACCTGATGGCTTCAGAGAACTCAATAAAATTACCTGCCTTTTCATCTTGTTTGCTACTTTTTTTCGGTTTCCTTAGGGGATTTTCAACTTGATCCATATAACATTTATTGCATAGAACGGTGCCTTCCTTCCATGTTGTTTTTCCTAGACCTTTAGCCGCGAGTTCTTTCAATTTGCCTTCACTCAACGAACGGAATCTAACAGTTTGGGTGGTTGAGCAGTTTGTGCAATGCTTAATTTCAGACATATTTAATACTATATAAAAGTTGTGGATTAAGGTGGATTAACTCAATATTCTTATGTGCCGAAGCGAAAACTTCAAATTTTCATAGAATTACAGCCTACCTTTCATAAAAAGAATGGGCTACACAAGTCTCGTGAAAAAGTACTTTAAAACGTATAAATTACGACTTTAATGAATTGTGTAACGTGTTACTATTTTTAGGTACATTTCCCCCTGTTCCCTTTGTACCCTTCTCCTAATTAAGAGAATTCTCATAAATCGTCCCTATTAATAAATTGCCTGCCTAAATTTATGAATACGTAATACCGGTCAAATTAGATCAACCATTGACTGGTCCGCACCGATAAATTTAACCAGATAACCGTATAAATAGATCAGCAAGATGCAAGATTAGTTGTTAATGTTCCCCACATCTTGCAAATCAAAATTAACTAAACGTCAACAAAAAGCTCTTGCTTTTCGAAAAAATCTGGGAAAAAAGTCCAAGTTAACCGCAGATAATGAAAAAAAAGATTTTACTGAAATTGATAGTGTAGTAAAAAAAAATAAAAAGAGAAAACATATAAAAGCGGCAGATGAACTAAAAGAGGCGGAAAAGAAAAAACATAAAATAGAAGGGCTTGAAAATCATGAAGAGGGTCAAGAGACTGAAACTACCGATGTAAATGAAAACATTCATGATATTAAAGAAACACGATGCTTAGATGAAAATGCTAAATCATTAAAAGGACAAAATTGTATAAATGAGCAGTTGAATAGTGATCAGGATGATAAGGGTGGAGAAGATATAACAAGCAGAATTGCACAAGATGATCAAGAAAAAAGTGAACCAAATAATATTAAATTGAAAAAAAAACCATCAAGATTTATTATCTTTGTTGGTTTGTGTTTCTATGTATTAATCTTTTACATTCTTTTTTTTCCATACAAATAATAAAATTCAAAATCTATTATCAAAAGCCAATTTACCATATAACACAAAATGTGAAGAATTATCAAAGCATTTTGAATCTGCAGGTATGTACTGAATACATAAAATTTATAACTTCATTTCTTTAATAAATTACCAGCATTGTTTTTAATTTATACATCTAATTAGGTGCTCCTTTATCAATCCGCTTAATTACTGATAAAAATACAAAAAAGCAAAAGGGATTTGCTTTTATTGAGTTTGATAATTCACAATCTATGAAAAAAGCTTTGATATTTCACCACACAATTTTCAAGAAAAGACAGGTATAAAAGTTAAAATTAAGGAGAATTGACATTCTTATTTTAATTTACTGACTTTATATAATTTTCTTAGATAAGAGTCGAATTAACGGCTGGTGGCGGCGGTAATAAAAGCGAAATCCGCCGTAAAAAACTTGAAATAAAGAAAAAGCAATTAAAAAATGAAAGAGTTAGCATCTGTTTTTATTTATTTATTTTTTTTTACATTTCATTTATGCATTAACAATTATTAATCTTTTTAAATTCATAGCGAAAGTTTCATGAGACTTATATTGCACCCGCAAAGTCTAAATGTCCCCAAGTTGATGATCATAATGAATCAGCTTCAACGTTAAAAGTCACTTCCCGACCTGATTACAAGGTACAAACTAAAATTAAGAAACCAAGATTAAAGGGTTCAAATGCTATTAAACTTAATAACGTTAGAGCCTTTGGATAATACAGTTCTTTAATGCAATTTTACTATTAACGTTACATAAAAATAATGGTTTAATTTTATAATAAATTTTATAAATTTTATATTCTTCTCATTTACATCTAAGTAATTAAAATAATCTACTTTAATTATACTCAAATGATTATATTATAATTATTTAAAATCTCGATCTAAGGATTTTCTAAATGGTTTATAGAATTCTGATCTAAAGTTAACAAATAAAAACCAAAGTTTATTAAATCAATTAAATCATAACGATATTCATCTAGATCCATCTATATTAAGCCACGTTTTTTCATCTTAGCACATAGACTTGACATATAAACTTCTGCAAATGAAGATGAGTAATACTATAACAAAAAAGGAAGAAATTAGTTAAATAAATGAAATAATTTAATAAAATACTGTAAAATTAATACTCACTTCATGTTCTGAGTTATGTGGTCCAACAAAATTGTGTGCCAGCTCGTGGCAAAACGTCATAAACCAATACGATATGGTATCAACAGACGGCCTACTTGATTCGATCTCGTCATGTAATCCAAGATAAAATCGAAAGTTAAAAAATAATGCCTTCCCGCGATTGAAAGCAATTGAATTCGAAGTAATATCATAAAATATATGAATTGCATTTTGTGGAATTACAAAGACTTCACAAAGGTCTTTGAGTATGTTGATAAATCGAGTTAATGCTGGTGTTCTAAATATTTCTGAATGATCCAAATTTTTTTCGATGTAAAGTTCAATTCCGTCATTGGTGCCCACAAAGTCGAGCGAATGCCCTGATTTTATCGATAAAAATCAATCATATTGTCTAAAGTGTCTTGAAAATTATTAATAAAAAAAAACAAGTACCTGGTAACACGTCACAATAACTTGTTTGACTCTCAGTAACAACATTAATTCCCCCTTGATTATTCACTGAAGCTCCCGAATTAGGACGACAAGACTTAATAGCGTCTTTTAGCGCGTTACGAAGATGCTGGGTAGATTGTGGTGTAACCTTACTAGATTGTGTAGGCTGTATTTTTTGTGGTTGCTTCTGAATTGATGTTGGTTTTGGTGATTCACTACTAGTCGACGTAGAACTTGTTGGAAGAAGATCAGACAAAGACTTAAGAATACTCCCGCCCCAGCCAGACTTTCTTGTCCCCAACCTATCATCCTCGTGGCTGGAAATTCCGTTAGGTTGGGATGTAGGCCCGTTAGGTTGTGGTGTAGGTCCGTTAGGTGGTGTAGGTTCAATTTCTGGATAATTCGCTTCCACCAATTTGTTAGCAACTTTCTGTAAATGGTCAGTCTTTTCTTGAGCCAAACATTGACGAATATAATTTGGATCGCATTTTGGAAACATTTCCTGCAACTGAACAGCATACTCTTCGATTTCTGGTGCAAGTTTTATAGGAGAAACATTCTGACTCGGATTAGACATAACTTGCGGTTGGACTTCGGGAGCTATAGGAGCTTTTTGAGTCTCGTATTTCTCGGCAACGCGTATCGGCTTTTTATAACTTAACATGATACGGTCAACTGGATATCCTTTACGCTTTAAACTATCTAAGGGTGTGGTCAGCAACATCGCTAAATGAGAGATATCTTTCCATTTGCATTTCTTGAAAATGTGTCTTCCAAGGTTCGATGCAATGTCGAGATAATCCGGTTCCCCAGGAGTAACATATAAAGTCCACGAATTATTAACTCGCGTATCTTTATAAATACATGAATATAATGGCTCAACTTTTATTTGATTATTTGTTATAAGCTCATAGGTAGCCTCAATCTGACTGGTCTCCATTACTTTTAGCTTTTGAACCCAATCAACCGACTGCTTGACATCATGTCGATGAATGTCATGGTAGAATAATTGTGCTCTTTCTCTAATTGTTTTTTGCAGTCTTGCAGAACCTGTAGAAGTTGTTGGACTGCCTTTTACTTGTATACTTGCCCTAACACTTGCAGACAACGAACGACTTCCTAACATCTTGAAAAAAAAAAAAGAAAAAGCTTTTTAATAAAATTTCAACAATAATAATAATAAATTAATGCATCATACCTTATAAAAATTTTCCAAAATATCTTCCAAAGGTGCAGTCAGAGGGTTAAAAACATGCTGAAAATTTGTATCATCATTTATAAAAATATCTTTTGCAGGAGCCAAGATATAATGATCAATATTCTGGCCTTTACTATCAAAATTTTCTTTGTCTGCTTCGATCTCATTCCTTTTTATGCCAATCAGTATAGGGGCGCGACTCATATCGGCAAATAACGATTTATTTCTAGAAATAGAACTGAAATTGACTGCAATATTACGGAGGACAGTGAGATATTTCTCCACATTATCGCCGACAGAATTCCAAAATTCATGCGAAGACTTCACTAGGAATTCTGCAAATTCGGTCGGAGATGGTTCAGTTTTAACACCACAACCAAGCAAAAATTTATTTCCTTTTTCGCCAAAATCTACATAAGAAAAGAATTCAGCATAGCTGTAATTGTAATTCGTAATCAAATTATTAGCAAAATTATAACAAGGCTAAGGTTTTTTTTGTTTTTCTTTTTCGGAATATAAAAAAAAAATAATAATAAAAGAACTTACGCTTCATCATGGCCCTTGAAAAAACAATCTCTCGGTGTGACATATTTTATCAAGCTAGTTTGGGTCTTGTCTCTGATCGGAATAAAATTAAGATCTCTAAGCGAGGACCAATCTGTTTGATTAAAATCGCCCAAACGAGATGCCAAATAACCAAAAATCTCTTTAGCCCTTTGCTCGTTTTCAGGTGGATTTTGAATTAATCTGTTCAATAGTTGCTCACGATTTGGATGATGTCGAATACCCAATTCATCAGCTCGAAAGCGTAAATCTGGGTGCAATGCATTAAAGTTCATTATTGTGCATTCTTGATTGGAGAAACAACCCATTGGTGTCGCATATATCTTGGGGTCGGAACATGGCAAAAATGACACTTTTACTTCCTCAGCTTTATACATAGAAGAGTATTTATCTTTAAAATTATCCATGAAATATTTTAAAGCCTTGCTTCTTAATGCTGCATCTGAATTGGAGACATCAGCAAGTTGGAGAATAATGTTAAGAGGTGGATATTCTCGCAGACCCAATGAAAAAAGAAACTTTGCTAAAAGTGAGATGAGTTAGCAATCATTTAAAATATTTGAAAACAATACAGCATAAAGTACATAATATTAAATACCTTCTTCAGAGTTTTTTCGCCATTTACCATTCCATTCGATTAGAGGCAACCCGAATTCTCTCATTTCCGCTGATGGTGCATATAAATCACTTGCCATAAACCTATGAATCCTCGGTTTAGCTTTAATATCATCGTTATCTGCCTTTGCTAACGAAGGTTCAGTTTTCGCGTTTTGTTCTTTTGGCCAAATTGCAGTAACCTTTAGCCTTTTCAACTCAATTTCTTTAAGGTTATTAGATACTGAAGCAAGATACTTGACAAGTTGCATATGATCCCAATTTCCTTGACTAACTAGACGATCGAAAATGAGTTGCAATTCAACATGCTATTTATAAAATTCTTACACTAATTAGATGGGTACATAAAAATAATTTAACTTTAGAAGAGGATTAATCCTTACTTTCCGAACACCCAATTTTTGTAATAATTTTTCAACAACTTTAACATTTTGGAAGTTAATAATCGGTAAATCCGGGAAAAGGTCCACGTTTGGGAAATATGCATCGTCTGGTATTTTTAATCCGTGTTTTGTAGGAATACATTTTTTTTCAATAAGAAACTGTTTGATCATATTCTGGTCGTTTGATGAACATTTCTGAAAACTTCTTGCAATTATTCCCAGAACTTTTTCCGCAAAGTCGGGATCATTTTCCAGTTGGGGTTTGGATGCAATGTATTGTGTCCAGGTAGCAAGTGAAAGCTCTTTCCACCCACTAGGGAAGGGAAAAAAAAAAAAAGTAACCAGTAAGAACAAGAATCTGCGTATTAAGACACAAACACTAATAAATATATATATATATTTACCCGAACCACTTTTCGATATCATTTTTTTGAAATGATTTACTTATTGAATAAGGCAATACATTAGATGGAACCTCATAATCTGGCGGAACTACAGAAGGATTTAACCAGTACTGAATTTTATTTAATGGTATCACATTGTCGTTAATACAAACTACGGCAAGTTTTAATAACTGCTGAACATCCGATTCAGAAACTCGACTTTCTTTAGATCGATAACCTATCCACCACTTCATTAGTGCAACAGTGTCCTCTTGGGAGAGAGTACGGCTTTGTAATTCATTAAAGACATCGCCTAATGAAATGTCTTTAATGATATTCATCTTATTTCTTGCTTTTTTGATAAATACATCACATTGTTCCATGATAATTTTAGGAACTATGGGAATAGTTTTGATGAAAGCTGCCATTTCGGAGTTAGGCATTCGTACTAAGTTAATTGGTTGAACTCCAGTAGTTGATAAAATAGACAAGAGCTGAGAAGCACAATTTAAAAATTGAAACTCAATAATTTGGCCAACATGAGGGTTAGGAGTGCTAGGTTTAAATGTAAAGTGTGAAAGTGCATGTGCAGCTCGTTTTTCAAGCCACTCACGCGCCGAATTTGTAGCTTCATCTGTTTTTGCGTTCGAACCAACAATTTCTCTGTAAACTTTAGATATTTGACTCATTTCATCTTCATACAAAATTCTTGACAAAATTCCAGCAACACATAACATTTCGTTGTTATAAACAGCAAGAGTTTTGTCGATTAAGTCAATAGATTCACGTTCAACCTATCGAGATTACAAATAAAATTTAGAGAACATACAATAGGTGATACGTTAAAATTCACTCAATAATGAATACTTACCGTTGGAATTAAACGAGCCGCCAAGTGAGAACTACACCCAGTCGTCTGATGTGTAGGAAACCCAATAAAAATTCTACCTTGTTCAGGAAATGGCAACAAATTTTTAAATATTCCAGATATTTTTTTGTTTTTATCTTCAGAAAAATATTGTTCGTCATATCCAGTAAATATCATCTGAATAACAGTTTGACTTGGTGGTTTCTTTTTTGTTGTACGCTCCATATCTGCCGAAAATGCTCTGGATACTCGTACATCTAAATGGCCACTGGCTACTCGAAGAAATATGGATGTTTCTTCTGTCGGATAGTCACTCAGTGTCGATCTAGTTAGAGAAAATTTCGAAGGAATAATTATCCTCTCGACGTCCAATTGCACTTTCCGTACGTCTACAGATTTTAAATGGAACATTCTTTCTGGCGATGTCGTATTTAAACCAGAGAATATAGTCATAGTCCTCGGGTCAGACATTTTTTTTGTGATACGTATAATCCTCTTATCATTGAAATATACGGATACTTCGCGAAGATTCCCTGTGAAACCCTATAAATAATGTACCATAATTTGTAAATTATTCATATATATATACAGGAAAATGCATGAGCAAGCATCAAAGTTTTTAGATGTAGAGATCCCTTACCAATGATGTAGCCAAAAATCGACCAAAATCTTCAGCGTTAGGAAACTAGTAAAAAAAATTATTCCATTCATTAAAACGAACATTTATTTTATAAAATAAAACCAAAGCCAAATAATTAAGGAATCATAAGATGCATACCTCCGCATGATCTCTCATATCCATAAGAAAAGTTGTCCACGTTTGATCTTCTTGACTAATGGCAGCACGTTTAGCGAATAATTGATCCCCTTTCCAATAAAATGCCATGCCTTGACCTCCTGAGGATACACTATTATAATTTAAAAAGTTATAATTAAAACAAACACCAAAAAACAAATAATAATAAATACTAATTACGTCAATTATGTGCGTAGTGAATTGACTAAACAAAAAAAATCATTGATCGATGATTGACCAAAAAAACTTTTGCTTGATTGATCAAAAATCAATTATGTAAACTTAATCATAATTTATAAGCTGAGTATATATAATAATTAGGCCAATAATCGACCGACTATATCTAATCTACTAATAAAAATAAAAATAAAATAAAATAAAAATAAAAATAAAAAAAAACTAAAATAAAATAATAATTTATTCTACATTTTCTTGATCGACCAAATTCAACCATCTGAACGACCAAACTTAATTGACCTATTTTTGATCAAGCCTACAAAACCATGCTCGATTATTGACTCAACTAGATCAATAATCGATCATGATATAGTCGAGTCAATTCACTATATTTGCGATAGTACTCACAATGGCTCTTCACAGACGGAAAACAATGAATAGAACCCAACTCCAAAAGCACCGATCTATTTAATGATGTCAGAAGTATATGTATAGATTGGTTAGATCTACAATATCTCACACATAATAATGCTTGTAAAAATATTTGCTAAAACCTTTTGTTCGTCAGGATTCCCTTCAGCAATTTTCTTTAGTCGACTCCAATCTTCGGGACGAAACACGAAGCCATTGTTTTTAAATAATATCCTTACACACTTGTCTTTTAATATATTGGACTTATCTGCACTTTTGTTTTGAGTTTCATATATAATTTCTACACTTGAAGACTTTGCATCGTCTGAAATAATAAATAATTTCGTATTCGAATTTCATATTTTTTTAAAACAGCCAGATATTAACACAATTAATATACCTGCATTTTGCATTAGCTCTCGAAATACTACAAATTCTGCTGAATACCTGCAGTAAAAATTTTAAAAATATTATTAATAAACTTTGATAAATTCGAATCATGAATATTTAAACTCGAAAATGTAAGCACCTCGACAAGATCTTATCAATCAAGTGCCTTTGATTAACCTCAACCCGCTCTTCACCGGCAGTGTGAGAAAGAACTTGTTTACGAAGTTCATCCATGGTTGAGATAAGCACCGGCTGAAATGTTTAAAGGGAAAGTTTACAAATTTTATAATAAAAAACTTTTTATTTTGACGGAATTGAATGTTAGGTGTATTTATACTATCACTTGTATGTTATATTTAGAATGTTACATTTCGTAAGATTCGATCACGTGCAAAACGCGTATTTGTTTGTTCACCATATCGATATCTAAACCGCTTATTTATCGGTGAGACAAAAATGCGTTGAATTTTCCAGAACCATACGCAAGCAAATTACATGTACAAACTTTATGCTCTTACGTAAGATTTTAACTGTACAAAAATGCACGCGAACTCTAGCAGTTTCGCAGTTACAGAATATAAAAGAACAATGGATTTATATTGCCTAGCCAAAAAAAGACTTTATTTTATAATATGATTTTGATTATATTAGGATAACAATGTACTTAAATGTGTATAGTAGTAGACAGTTTCTCTATTAGGCCACCGGGGTGAGTATAGTCATGAATTTGATGAACGCATTATAGCAAACTTGATGCATATACCATATAGCTGCAAGGGTTTTATAAAAAATGTAGACTATTATCTTTAGAGTATTGGTATCAAGATCACGGGAGGATTAATTAATAATACCCTGACCGTATGTGAATGTTAAAAGTCCGGTCCAGTCCTGGTTAAGTCTGGTCCATAACTAGTTAAAAACTAGTTTATATCCCCTGTCTGAGCAGTTTAATGTTTAGAACAATAATGAACGAGTATTGTGTTTTAATTATAATTACATGAATTCGTTCCAGTATTATAATCATCGACGTAAATTAGCCAATTAGAAGACCTTGAGATCCGTGAGTTGATTCGAAGAATGATAAATTCGAATTACTCGAGTCACGAGTTGACGAGTCCAGTCACTAATCTCATGTCACGTAATGTACCCCAGAGCTACGAATTACCAGGGTTACGAATTAACCTGTACACTATTAAGTGCAATTTTTTTAAGTATTTTTACAATTTTGTAAACCAAAAATACGACTCTAAATGAAGTAAATGTGATTTTTTTAAGCATAAATTTTTTTTATTATTGAATTAAAATTGAATTTAAAAAAATATTACATAAGAAAATCTTCGGAATAATCGAAATAATCATTTATGCAAAATTATAAAATATAGAATCTAAATTATCGCTAAGTGTATATTCTTGAGGAATAGAAAAACTAGTTCTGCTTAACATCAATTCCCATATTATTATCATTAATCAAAGGATTTCTAAACTTTAAAATTTTTTTTTGATAGTAATTAACGATATCTACTTTCTCTTTTAACCAGTTATTTACCGAATCAATAGGAATTTGATTAAATTTCTTCATAAACTTTTCGGTATCTTTTCTAAAATAAAATAATACATGCGATAAAAAAGAATCATACTGTAAATCAAAACTTAAATACAATCCTTGCAGTTGATAAAAATCTACTGAATGAATTGCTTTAATTATTGCTTCTTTAATAAATAAGTCTACATGATTAAGTAAACAAGTTTCTTCAAACTCCCTACGGCTAAAGTAAATTAAATTAGTAACGAAAAAAAAACAAAGAAATAAAATGCATTTTTTAATTACCTAATTAAAGCGAAGGGAATACACTGCCTACAAATTTTAATTTTTAATTCATAAATTATTATGGGATCAACTAATTCATTTTTGCAATGCAGGCATTTTTTATATTTATATAAAAGTTTGATTTCTGGCATTGGTAATCTTTCACAATGTTGAAAAAAGTAATTTCTCCAAAAATTTTGATTTTCTTCAAAATGAGATTCCATCTGCGTTTTAATAGATCGACTTACTCCTAAAAAACTTAAAATAACTTGGAGATAAATTAAAGGCAATTTCGGCTAAAATTTCTGGAAATAGCAATATTTCGAATGTTGATTTTGTCTCGACAATCATCAATTGATGCTGGCCCTTCGATAATTGACGCTGACTCTTCGAATATTGTCGAAATTATTGAGATTGATCTCAATAATTTCGACAATCTTCGAAGGGTCAGCGTCAATCGTATCTTAATTAATGATTCACAACATAATTAAATAAAAAACTTATAATGCGTAAAGAAAATTAAATCTAACATCTTCCTTACCTGGTTTATATTTATTTTTATACAAATCCAATATTTTTCGAATTTCATGTAACGCATTTATTATTTCTTGTTTTTTCTTTCCTAGTAATACTTGTTTATTTTCACTAAATGAATTAACCGAAATTCCGACTGAGATTATTCATTTCTTTATGTAAATCTTTATTTTCTTTTCTCAGATCTTCATTTTCTTTTCTTAATTTATTAATTTCTTCCTGTAAGTTCTTGACTTTAAAATTCAATTGTTCGATTGTACTTTTGATATATTTGATTTCATCTGTTTGAAATTTATAATCTTCATCAGAAATATCTTTGCGCTTATGTTGACGAACAAGAAGGTCCTCGGTAGCTTGAAGATATGAGAGTGCACCTTCTACAATTTTATTATACGAAAGTTGACGTTTTGCTTTTTGGAGCAAGGATTCGTGAGGCATTCTCTTCTGTTCTTAAGTTTGTAGCTTAATCTCGACTTTATAAATAAAATTTTTCAATAATTATTTATTTTTAAATTAAAAAAAGGGATTTAATTTATAGTGCTATAGCACTATGGTGCTAGAAAATTTAAGATCAGGTGTAACATGCAGATCACTCCTTTGTGTAACAAAAACAATCTATCTATCTATCTATCTATCTATCTATCTATCTATCTATCTATCTTCTATATATATATATATATATTATTATTATTATTATATATTATTATTATTTATATATATATATATATATATATATATATATATATATATATTTAATTCTGAGTTTGTGCGTTTTAACGTTTTTGATTGGACGTAGCTGAGAAGCGTGACCTGAGCGTGA